CAGGAATAGTATATGGCCAGGAGCCCCTTAGTAGCGTCCTTGCTCCTGGTAGTAACGCCAGGAGCCCCTAGTAGCTTCTAGCTACTAGTAGTATGGCCAGGAGCAGTAGCGTCCTTGTAGTAAGGCCAGGAATAGTATATGGCCAGGAGCCCCTTAGTAGCGTCCTTGCTCCTAGTAGTAACGCCAGGAGCCCCTAGTAGCTTCTAGCTACTAGTAGTATGGCCAGGAGCCCCTAGTAGCGTCCTTGCTCCTAGTAGTAAGGCCAGGAGGGCCTAGATGGCCAGGAGCCCCTAGTAGCGTCCTTGCTCCTAAGGCAAGAGCCCCCAGTAGCGTCCTTGCTCCTGGTAGTAAGGCCAGGAGCCCCTAGTAGCTTCTAGCTACTAGTAGTATGGCCAGGAGCAGTAGCGTCCTTGTAGTAAGGCCAGGAATATATGGCCAGGAGCCCCTTAGTAGCGTCCTTGCTCCTAGTAGTAACGCCAGGAGCCCCTAGTAGCTTCTAGCTACTAGTAGTATGGCCAGGAGCCCCTAGTAGTGTCCTTGCTCCTAGTAGTAAGGCCAGGAGCCCCTAGTAGCGTCCTTGCTCCTGGTAGTAAGGCCAGGAGCCCCTAGTAGCTTCTAGCTGCTAGCTACTAGTAGTATGGCCAGGAGCCCCTAGTAGCGTCCTTGTAGTATGGCCAGGAGCCCCTAGTAGCTTCTAGCTACTGGTAGCATGGCCAAGCGTCCTGGAAGAAAGGCCAGGAGCCCCTAGTAGCTTCTAGCTACTAGTAGTATGGCCAGGAGCCCCTAGTAGCAACCTTGCTCCTAGTACTAAGGCCAGGAGCCCCTACTAGCTTCTAGCTACTAGTAGTATGGCCAGGAGCAGGAGCCCCTAGTAGCGTCCTTGCTCCTAGTAGTAGGGCCAGGAGCCCCTGGTAGCTTCTGGCTACTAGTAGTATGGCCAGGAGCCCCTAGTAGCGTCCTTGCTCCTAGTAGTAAGGCCAGGAGCCCCTAGTAGCTTCTAGCTACTAGTAGTATCCTAGTAGCGATGCCCTTTGCTCCTAGTAGCTTCTAGCTACTAGTAGCTATTTGCTACTAAGAAGCTTCAAAGACATACTAAAAGCTTCTTGTTACTACAGGTGAAACGATTCCCAAGGAAGCTTCTTGCTACTAGTAGTTACTAGTAGCTTCTTGTTCCTAGTAGTAATGGCCTCCAACCTAATAGCAATGGCCTCCACCTAGAATCTTCTTGAAGACCTTTGGGGATGCCTTTGCAAAATATGCGTACATCTACCTGGCATGAGATTATACCAGACTCTTAAGAAGCAGAAGGGATCTCAGTGGGATGCGTCTGTTGTTTAGCAGTTGGCTCCCGCAATCTCTGTGCCTTCTCCGCTCAAGGCCATGTCACCATAGAAGTGCTGGACGAATCTGCCCAGCAACCAATATTGTGCATGAAGCCTCGCTTGGCTCGCCAGCGCAGCGTGAAGAACGGCCATCCACCGGGGCTGGAGACGTAGCAAACGGTTTTTTTGGGGGGGGGGGGGGAGACCGACAGTCAAAGGCTAAGGCTAAGGCTGAAGTAGCAAGCCAAATGGCTGCTTTTAAGTACTTGGACAAAGAAAAGCTCCCTGATCTGGTGGGGAAAGTATCCTGCAGGCTGTCTGTGGTAGCTCCAGCTTTCTAGAGCCGCGTGTCTAGCTCACAGTCGCCAAGCCGCAGGAGGTTACTCACCGAAATGATTCTCGCCAAGCCTCCCAAGTTAGGTCTCAGCCCTTTTTCCCATGCCGAAACAACTTCTGAAGTCCCAACTGGAAAACTCCCCCAAAGCACAGGGTCAAGTTCAGGGGAATCTCTGCAAGGATGCGAGGAGAGCCGTGCGACATGAGTTTTCCGGAAGAGAGGCCTTTCCCAGTCCAGCCAATCCTGCCACCGAAGGCACTCATGTTGAGCGAAGTCGGCGGGGTTTTCCCAGCAGCTTTCGCCCGTAGAGGCATTGTAGAAGTACTGGAGCCGACCTGGAAGGAAACTCACAGTGCCCTATGACAAATAGCTTGGCTTGTCTCACTTCAGACGCAGACATGCGAACGTGCTCCCTTTGTGTCTGACAAAATTGTTGATAAATACCTGCAGTAGCTTGTGTACAATACCCCTTACGACATGTGTAGAGCAAATGTGCTGCTGGCTTTCCCTTCCAACCTGTACTCTAAGATCTCTAAGACCCCATGGTGCGTCCTTGCCTTGCTCGTGCATCGACCAGCCTCATCTCAGGGTTAAAGAAGACGTTTCTGCCTGATATCATGCTGCCTCCCTCAGCATCATGCGTTCCTAGAAGCCACTTCTTGAAATGTGCTTCAATCTGAATTACATACTCTTTCTGTCTTTTGTTCTTTCTTTCCTTCCTTCCTTTCTTGATTTCTTCCTCCCTTCCGTCCTTCCAACACATCGGTTATGTTTCTTGGTTGCATAACTTACTCCTTCCCACTGAAGCTTGCAAGCAAGCAGCCTTCTAGCTTTTTCTCTGCCTCCTCATCAGCATGTCTCCTTAGGACCACACTCTCAAGCTTCAGCCCGAAGAGATTGAAGTTCCCTCCCTGCAGCTTGTGGCCAGCTTGTTGATCCAACTCCCCGTGGACCCCCTAATTGTCGGCATGTCTCAGGTGAGCTGTGAGTGCAGATGCCAAATCTGCGACCGACAGGCAGTCGCGGATAATCAGCATCAATGCATCCAGCACACAAAGGAAGACCTGTCATCGGGAGCTGCAAGTGACATACACTGGGGTGCCGAAAGTTGCGCTTCTTGACTTCTAAAATGGGACAAACCCTTTCCCCTTAGAATCCTACGTGCAACATGTCGACGGGCCTAAGTTGCGGTCATATTTCCATACCTGAAAGCCTATAAGTATTACAAATTTAAACAGGTGCGGAAATCTGACCGTGCTGTACCTGCCAGGCAAAATGGACGTGTCAATCTGACCCGCTGTAGACCGCAAGTGACATGTTGGAACAGAGTAAGAAGCGTAAACTTTAGGGTTCTTGAAGTACAATCACTTCGCAGACTGTATTTTTCGGTCCGCCAATAACAGAAACGGGACTTCGTTCAGGAAGGAGGGAAATGAGATGCAGCTTTCCTACCGGCTAGCAAAGTCCGGCTAGTGGGGTTTGTCTTCTGAGCCAAGAGACATCCATCAAGGGATGCTGCCAGCTGGACGTGTTCGTAGAAGAATTCCAAAAGTACACCACACCAGCAGAGCTGCTCTCCTCCACACACGGCTGTTCAGAGCCGAAGAAAGTGTGAAAAAAGGGATCCGGCATCTCATAAGCACGAAAACTTACATTCCACCGAATTCCACCTTCTGTTTTCAGTCCCGTCCTGCTATCCTCTTCTAAGCGGCTAAATGCTCACAGTGGAAGGCGTGTGTCCCCATTCGCTTTGGGGTTCTGAAATCAAGGACATCCCAACAAGTGGCTCTTCACCTGCTTTCAACCTCACTAAACCAGGTGCTTGCAGGTCGGCTTTCAACCTCACACTCATGTGACAACCTCACACATCCCTCCTCCGTCCATGGTGGTGGAAGCACCAGCTCATACGCAGCCGTGCCCAGGGCAGTCACAAGGTCTTTTGGCGCTCCTAGTCTCAGGGGGGACCCCTCTTTGTCCGTTCGCATTGGTGTCCCTGTCCTTTTGCACACCTTGCCGCCATGTTCAATGGGAAATCTCCCCTGATTTTTACAGTCCAGTAATCAGTGTGCTTGGCAGTCGCATACGCATTAAACAAAGCTGTCGTTGCAGGCAGGGCTCCAACTGCACACAAATCACATTTGGGCTGAGAACCGATCTAGATGATCCATCTTTCCGTTCATCGTACAAGCCACCCTTTACCAGAACAAGCTCTATCATCTTGCCCTAGCATTGACAAAAGGGTCTGCAACAAGATGCCACACGATGCAACAAGGAAGCAAAATTTTCGCAACCTGTGGATGCAACAAATTTCTGTTGGCCGTGCAGCCCTCCCAGCATCTCCTCTCCCTCGAGTTGCCCAGCGGAAGCTCTGCAGGAATTCCGCTCGGGAGCTCTGCAGGGGAGTGCCAGGCGGTGCAGCTGAAGGCGCACTCATGGCGCGACGTGCGCGGTCGAGAAAGACAGGGACGCCAGTCGTCTTCAGAAAGGGCCGTTGTCGTCACTGTGGTCTGATCCCTTCCTAGCCAGGCACCTCACCTCAATGCCTCTGGTCCTCTGTTGCCTTTGTGTTCTGTGTCGATACATGCGGTGTATCAGTCCGGAGGGCTCAGATTGGTTGGATTAAGAAATCCCGGTTCCAAACTCAACAACATCCACTTTGTGGAAGCTCAGAACCAAAATGTGGCGGTCAGGACAAACTCAGGCATGGCCAGCTTGGCACACTGACTAGACGGTCTTTGGTCTTTGGGTGCGCCTGGAGTGGTGAGTCACGTGTCACAATACTAATTGCTCCAAGTCATGCTCTCAACTCATTCCCTCCACAAATTGATATCTCTCTGCCCATTGTGGGCCCTGAAGTGAAGAGACTCACAACTAAACCACGGAAAAGGGGGGACCTCTGGAGGAGTGAAAGCTCGCTTCGCCGCCTCCAGCGCGCACATCCGAGCTTTGACCTAGGAATCCCATTGGCGCTCCTCGATACTCTGCCTCAGCTCCTCGTACTGTTCGCCATCCACGTAGATGTCATTGATGGCCTCCAAGGATTGGACATCAGGCCAACTGGCCTGCTTCGAATTGAATATGTCACAGGCCGCAGGCCACTGGAATTTGCAATTGGAACTTGGTCCCTACTCTGTGGTTGTTGGTAGACACAGTAGACACTCCATGGCACCAAGGGGGGGCAGATTTGTCGAGCATGCTGGACATGAAATGACTTCAACAGCACATGCTTCCGATCTTCATGTCAAGAATGTCATGAGCACGCGCACACACACACGCACACTCTCACAAGCACAAATTTGAGTTGCTGTTGCTCTTGTTGAGTCGCTGCTTCATCCCATCGCGCCTCATTCACAGGTGCAATGTTGTGCTGTTGCACCTGATACTGAAGCTGTTCAGTCAACATGTCGGACCCGACAGATGCTTTGACCTTGTTTGCTCCATCTGCTAGACAGGAGCTGTTTCCATCCGTTCAAGCAGTGTAGGCACTGGCCTGCACTGAAACAAACAAGCACATACAGTATGCCTGGCATTGGGTGTGACATGAGTGGAAGATTCATTCAGCCAGCTAAAGGGGCCGCAAAAACTTACAAAGTGTTGCAGAGTTCCATTGCCAAAGCGCCCAACATGGAAAGACTTGACCTTCTCCAAAAAAGGCAGGAGCTTTATGCTGTTGGATCAACCCATCGTTCAAGCGGCTCACCGATAGGACCAGCCTGCTTCATGTAGGGCATGATCAGCGGCAACTGGCCCGCTTTCTTCACCTGGTGTAATGAGCCAAAGAGACATGACAGAAACAAAAAATGTGTCGGAGAATGGCCCATTGCTTGGGACAAGGACGCTACTAGGAGCAAGGACGCTACTAGGGGCTCCTGGCCTTACTACTAGGAGCAAGAAGCTACTAGGATTATAATGCAACATTCCGAATCATTGGATTGGCTTCAATCATTGGATTTGGCAGCACAAGCCCCGCAAGCCCCTCACCTGCTGGACCACTCGTGCATGATCCACCTGCCGTGGACAAGGCACAGGCTTTCCAAAAGAGGCTAGTTCTTTTCTTCATGGCTCATGGCTCATTTCTCATGGCTTTTCTAGCTCTTCTCTCCTTCTTTCCAGACTGCCGGACGGACTCGTCCTCTGCCTTTACAATGTTCTGTCATGAGTGGCAAGCTCGGTCGTCCGTCCTTGCATCCTTCAACATCCTTGAAAGTACACAGCCCCTTGAATCTTGCGAAGCTAAGATCCAATGAACGTCTGAGGCTTTCACATCAGCAACATGGTGCCCGGACAAAATAGTTGGAATCTTGGAGCATTCTGGACCCGCCTTTGGAGTGATGGTGCTCAATAGGGAGTTCAACTGCAGTGGCCTTGGTATACAAGGCTGAAATCACCCTAGGAAGAGTCGGCTGGTCTTCTAAGGTGCGCCTGAAACCTGAAAGGGGCTGGCAAATGGTGTGATTCGCAAGGCAGGGCAGCCCGGCTGCTCATCCAAGTAGAATTGGACTGCACGGTAGTACAACTCCATATTCGACACCTGCGAACTCTTGGAAATGGACACGCTAGATTTCGGAGAGCCCACCATGTGAGTGCATATATCTTTGATTATGCATAGGTCAGCTCAAAATGGCAGAAAGGCTACGATCAAAGGCCGGAAAGGCCTTCTGCATGATCATCAGGAACCTCACATTTGAGCATCACAAGCCAACCACAAAGACAAACAAACTGCGCAAAAGAGTGTCATTGTTGGTCAGTCCTACTCACTGGGTCAAAAAAGCAAAGAGTGAACACACAAAAAGGGAACCCGCCGGCTTGCAGTGAACTTTCATTTATGTGTGTATATATAGCCAAACTAGGATGTCAGCTTGTGACAGTGACATGTATGGAGGGAACTCCATAATTACAAATCCGCCTAGGCAAGTCCTTGAGCACCCAACTGGTCATGAGCAAAGGCAATTGGGCTGTGAGCCTCAACGCAAGTCATTGACTAATCTGGTACTCCACTCAATCGTTCCAGAGGTTGTGAACACAAATGCAAACGATGATGAAAGGGCAATGATTATACTATATAGTCCACAAACACGTGACAGGTACTTGTCCTTCTCTCATAAGCATCTGTGCATGCCCTGACGTCTTTCTTGGTGTTCCCCTAAACCAACATAGTCGGCTTAAGTTGTAGATGCTGGCTTTTGAGACCAGTGCCATCATCGTGTTCGCTGCTTGGTCGTACTCGTCATAGTGCGTGTAGAGGAACACGGCATGTTCCCAGTGATAGTGCCTCAAAAGGCCACCACGAGAGATGCCTTATCGATGTTCTGTTCATGGATCCTATGGGTTTCCGGCCTTTCGCAGGCATGGATCAACTTGGGAATGTTCAACTTCTGCACGTTCATCTTGATGAAGTCCATCAGCATCTTTGGCTTGTACCTAACACGGTGTCGATTCAACTCGCAGATCAGTGATCTTTAAGTCTTGAAAGCTCATGTCTGACCAAATACCAAGAGGAGATGAGTAAATGTACCACTCCGTGCTTGGCTCACTTCGCATACATCGTTGCCAGCTCAGTGTACATACCAACATGGGCACCTCAGTCTGACAGTCACACAACTGGAATCAAAACATGTGAATTCATGTAATGTAATGTATCTTGTTTTTTGGCAGTTTTTGTGTCGTTCTTGCCCAATGCGATTCAAAAAGGAAGGATGGCAGGTTTGAGTCCCCCCTCTCTCGTTCTTCCTTCTCTCTCTCTCTCTCTCTGCTTACTTGGTTGATGGTCTGCCGTTGCCGTTCCAACTTGAATCAAATGAAGCCTCATCCACCAGAAACCGCTGCTGCAACGAACTCTTTTGTGTAGTCCAGCTCAACGAAACTCCGTTGCAAAGGCTGGGTTTCTGTACATAGGCGGCAGGGCATGTTCGCCTGCGCTCACATGGGCGCCACCCACACTCTAAATTGGCAGCAACACCAAGCGCATGGGGAGCTGCAAAGCTGTGACCGCAGACTGGCAGATGCAGTTTACAATTGGTTTTTAAGCAGACACTGGCATCTGGGCCATGAATGGCCATCATACGTAGGTGTGAAGTGGCTCGATCAGAACCCATTGATTGGATATCTGTCTCATGCTGCACAATATCTTATCCAGACTCATCCACAGCTCACCCCTGCAAGTGGGCACAAAAAACAGTGAATTCGATCCACGCGCTTGCACGATATCAACATGTCTCAGAGACCTGATGAGCAAAACCCTTCTCCAAGAATCAGGGCAGCGCCATCCGAATCTCTGATCGCAGCAGTGCTGCAAGATGCACGGCGCCAGCTACCAATGTGAGCGCTCCTCTGGCAAGTTGTCATTTAGCTGCTCTGGGTGCGTACACAAAAGGGTTGCAAGGATTCCAATTCGTCCTGTGAGTGCTGAAGGTTGATGATCTGTTCACCCGTAAGCCCTACCGTAAGTTGGGTATCATTATGTTTGGTCTTGTGTGAAACTGCTCAAGAGCGCAAACATGGAAGGAAAATTGGTTCAAATGCCCCTGCGGCACAGCAAAATCTTCGGGGCCAACCAGGGCGGCAAGCAGGTTCACTGTTCGGTTTCTTGCCGCAAAAGAGTTCAGTGTCTTCTAATCTCCAAATGGCCTAGGCCAGGTGTGATTGGAGTTGAACTTGCCATCCCTCTCATGCAAGCCCTGGGGCTGCTTACAGGTTGTCAGCACTGTCTATTCTCACTGCCAGCAACGAGATTGCAAAGACTGATACAGTATATCTAAGGTCCCAGAAATGACAACTGCTGCTCCGGCAACTGCAAAGTCCGGCTGACAACTTGGAGCAAAGATATTCTCGCAACCATCAGACGATCCTTTGTGACCTGCACTGGGAATGGATCTCTGAAGCATCGGAAACCGCGAATGGATTCCACTCATCTTGTGCCACAAATGGCGGACATCGCGCGGCGAAGTTGAGTCGAGTGGTGCTCAGAAGCAGCGTCCACTTCTTTCGTCGAGTTGGAACATTCTTGGAACAACAAGCAACAGCTTGCTGAAAAATGCGGCCTTTTCTCAGGAGAGGGCTTTTCTGGTAGGAGGGCTGAAAAATGTGGAGAGGATTGACTGCACATTGCTGGCAGTTCACAGCATGTGTACCCAGACCTTTTTGGCTGCGATTCGTGATCCTCTTCAGGTTCTGCACGAAGTGAAGCGTAGCTCCTTGGCCCAAAAAACAACGCTTGGCCCAAATGAGCTGGGATCCCAAGCTCCAAATGCATGGGGAAAACGGTTGCAAACTCCTGATCTTGCGAAAACAGGGCTGGGCCGAAGGGCGCAGATCTTACAGATCTTCATGAGGTTCGTTGGGCCGCACGGCCACCCATCTCTCAAGACCCACGGAGGTTGCTCGTCTCATCTGCTAATTGGTCGACAGTCGGTGGCAATGGCCACCGAAGCCGTCTTGGTGGTTTTGGCTTCGGCTCCAAGCGAGCCAGAAGCAGCTGGGCTCATTCTTGTTGTTTCTTTACTCCAGTCTTATTCCCCCCTGCATACAGTACTACTTCTGTGGTTTCTTAGTCTCAAACCTTGCACATGCTTTCTGTGGCTTTTAAGGACGTGAGGTGAGCATCTACAGAAGTTCTAACTAGCTTCACCCTTCTTACAAGTGCTTGTTCAAGAGTGGTTACCGGTTAAAACTCATGGTGAGGAATACCAGTACCAAGATCACTTGGTGTCATCCTCCCGGAAACTTCATAGAGGCGAACGAAGCACAAACTGCCCGTGGAAGCTATTGTATATACCCATTTGAACTAAAACAAAACTGACAATAAAAAGTGGTTACTACCATGGATAGTAGAATGTCCAATGATAATTGCCGCAAAAGGGGTTGCAAAGACTTTAGGGTACTTTGTAGACACGACCTCTGCAAGGATTGACCTACCCACACATTGGAAGGTGTTTGTCTATGGAGCGCATTTCCTTTATGGCATTGGTATTGGGATGAAGACCACCATGCTCTCCAAAGGCGCAGGATGTCTTCAGCTGTACACTCTGTAGGAAAGCTTTTTTAGTGCTGTACACGGAGTCGTCGTCAAAAGGATGGGTCGTCCAAAGGCCGGAGAGCAACAGGAACCGCCGAGGGAGCTGCTCACCTCAGCTGAGAGGGCACTGCTCCCCTGGAGCCGCCAAGTAGAACCATTTGCTGTTTTTCAGTTCGTTGCGTCACAGCACCACACAGCTGAGGCTTCTGAGTGACAAAGCTGCCCACAGAGGGTCTTAGGCAGACTTCTCCTATCCAAAAACGACGAGGTTAAGCCTCTGGAGAATATGCCAAAACCTGAATTCTAAAACTGCAACATCTGGCTGGCAATGTGGTGGGTGCCTGAACCAAATCATGTACTTAAAGTCTAAAAGGATCTTAAAGGGTCGAACTACCTTTACCTCTTAACCGCATAGTCTGTCATCTGTCGACAAATCCAGCTACTTTGCTTTGTTTTGGTTTCTTGCCTGTGCCTCAGCTACCAAATGCTTGGAACAAAATGCCCTACCTTCGGAGAGCGTGAGATCTCGACATCAGGTGCAATGACATAAAGCAGTGTCCCTGCCAGTACCTGCATGCCCAACCGTTGTAGCCTCCAACTTCTAGTGCAGTCTGAATCTGCCACGAGCCTGTGCCACTAGCCAGCTGATCTATGTAAACTACATCCAGCTGTCACAGTAGCTTCTGGAAAAGGAGCGCTCTTCAAGACCAAGAGCTACAGCAAAACACAGAGGTGCATTACTCGGACCAGTACTCACTCATTAAGGGACACCCTGATTTGACGTGAGATCCACATCCAAAACAACGCAAAGGGCACTGCCACAGCGCCCAACCACAAAGAGCCCGAGGGTGGCTCCCTGCTCAAGAGCACCGCGGAGATGAGGAAGGACACCTTGCCGAGACCGTCGGTTGGAAGATTTGTGACACCAATTCTTTGGCCCCGAACCAGTGAGCTTTCAACAATGTCCTTTTTTCCAAACTTACCGTCATTTGGGAATCAAAGAACACAAGGCGTGCTCAGTGCTAACCACCTGAAAATACTGCATGCATTCAATGAGGAGACCTACTCGGCCTAATCAGTTGGTGGTCTCGATTTTCCCCCAACAACCCACGGTCTGGCTGGGACTCGTGCCATGTTTAGAAACATGAGGACCAGGTCCCCCACAAAGCGCTGTACTGTGAGGACCAGGTTTGCTGTGAGCGCCTCAAAACCATGTGGAAGGGAGCACAAAGTTGCAAGCTTGATGATCCAGATCTTCGTAGCAGTTTGGTTGGTATTCTTAAGGCTCTCTAGCTGTACACCTCAGACTGTTGCGCCGGCAATCTTCAGTCTTGGCGTGCACTCTCAGGTCAGCGCTGAGGTTTGCTTAATCAAAAGAGTGATGCAAACTCTTGTCACGTAGTCCATCACCTCAAAACGACAAGTCACCCGGGCGAGCGGGAATACCAAGATACACTCGCTCGGCGTGCGATCTACGGACCGGGCAAGCACAAAGGCTGTGACAGGCTGTGACCGTTTGTTGGACCCTTTGCCACTGAGAATCACATGGACGAAATGGTGACCCCCCGCCATCGGCGTCGTCGGTGCTGCCACCCAAAATTGGGATCCAGACCGTGTTCAAGATCAAGAGAGCCCAGGGGCCAGGCCATCCGAAGGTCACCTCACCTGGAGAGAAGGGAAAAACTGAAACGAGCCTTGACGATGAAAGGAGCTGGGCTCGGTTAAACACACAGGGCTTCGTAGGCCCTCAGTCACAAAGGTTTGCACAACCCTGCTGGGACTTTGTTGAACTCTCAGTGTCACTGATCAAGAATGATGGCCTATAAGAATGGTCTTTCTTCTAGATAGGATGAGGGTGATCTTGCGTGTTCAACTTGGGTTTGGGGTGCTTTTGTGTTTTCTAATCAGAGGCTGAGGTCCAGGGTCTGACCAGCCCAGAACCTCATACCTCCGACGGTCATCCACTGCCCACCTGCGAACCATCGACTGCCGTGTATCTGAATGGATTGGTACTGAAGGAGCACCGCTGGCAGTCCCAACAGACTGCGAAAGAAGAGGAGCTCCTGCGTGGGTGGGTTTAGTTAACTTGACACCTCATCAAATTGAACCACAAAAAACTGATACGTTGTGCACTTCTGAACAGCTTTTAATCTTTGGCCTGTAGAACAAAACTGACTACATCTGACTACAACGTGTTTTCCAAGTCCGTCATGCAACACTCTGTCCTCCACTGGTATTGTGCGGCTCTTGGACAGTTGTTCCTGCGCAATTCGCATATCTCCCAATTTGTTCTCCGCAACCACCCCACAATCCACCTTCACAGGAAAGAAATGCAGGATGCTCACAATCAACACTACGGCATGGCTCCAATACTTTTGGTACAAGCTCGGAGCGAACCGCTCTCAAGAGCCGGCCTGTGTCAGTCCACCTCCTGCCCGGCTCAGCAGGGCGCCAGCCAGCAAGAGAATGCCTCGCAGGGACCGAATTGTCCAAACCCGGCCCCAGCAGAGGTGACCCACCTGACCCGCCAAGTGCCCTAAAGGCACCGCCGGGTGCGGTGTTCCAGCCAAGTGAAACCTCAAATTGTCCGGGGTCACTTTCATTGGATCCTCATTTGTAGTCTTCCAAAATGGTCACTTTCGAGCTTCCAGGTGCTGAAAGTTCAATCTCCACCTCGCCTAAGAGGCAGCTTCTTCCAGTCTCCAGACCGCTCTGGTCACCCGAGGTTCCTGCCACAGAGACCAGGATCAGCCCTGCGCAGCTCGGTGCGTTCGCCGGTGTTTCGTCGTGCCAAACATCGGTTGGAACCGAAGAGCCGACCACTGCTGTTGAGGTTCCAAATGACAGGAGGGCCACTGCCGCCAGCTGTTGCATTCCGTAGTTTCGATGTAGCACAAGCTTTCCCAGAAAGACATTTGCCAGCAGATTGCCATTCCTTGGTTCTTTCGTTCGAACATCCGTGAGTTTGCTTTCCGGATGTACGCACATCTGTGCCCATGGAGACAGGAGGATTCGGAGGAGGTGCAGCTGAGACACTTGATGGTGATCAAGACCAGAGTTGGAAGCTGTGTGCTAAGAGCAAGGTTCTGAAGCTGTGTATAGCCAATAGAGCCTCTTCAACAGCATTGCCAGTGTCGGGTTCTGCATCTACAATGTGTTGGCCAAAAAAGGGGATACCGCTTTCTCGGCCTTCAGATCTTGATTACCCACAGGTTGATGAAGAATCTCTAGCAGGGCTTTACAAACATGAACCTAAAAATCTCAAAAGGGCTCCCCAAAGCACCAATGAGCTAGTTTTTTGCAATCTCCACACGGGGGAGAAAAAGGTAGACCTTCAGCCTTCTCAAACTACTGCATTCCACCCGCCTGCAGCCAGACACATATGCCACGACAGTGGCAGCTGTCGTGGCTTCAGTGCCGCAGGCAGTGTGACCAGAATGCCAAAGAGGTGCTCTACCAAGCCTCCCAGGCAGTTACACTTCGACCCTAAGGCCATGTGAGGATTGCAATTTAATGCGCACCTATAGTCGCAAAATCATCTTTATAGAATCTGTTTGAAGGTGAGTACGCAGAAGAAATAGTCTTCAATCAATCCCTCCAAGTTTTCCAAGACTTCTTGCCGCCCAGATGCTAATCAGGTGCGCGCATCCCTTGTCCTACGACCAAGCACGTCTGTTGAGAAGACACATTACACCGACATCGGCATAGATCCCAAATAACATGTTCAACAAGCGAGCTCACAGGGCAAAACTTATAGACTGGCAGAATTAGTCCGAAGCCATGCCGAAGCTTGCCTAGAACCGCCAACCGGATCCTGAATGCAAAACAACTAGGACTAGACTAGCAAGTTCCGCGGGGTTACAGGCGAAAGGGTGCAATCAACCTGGACTTGCGAGGCTCAGAGTCGGTGGATTCAGCAGGAGTCCACCCCGAACACCTCCTACATGGGAGCGGTCCCACCTGTTTGGTATTCGGAAAACTCACTACACTTCCATGATGATTTCAGGCAATGTAGAATGTAGAATCAGAAACTTCAGAAGCTGTCCTTGGTATTCAAGACTTCATAAGGAGCTTGGCACGAACAACCACATGCCATGCACAGGAAAATCAGAACACCTCAGCTGAAAACCGTTTCTGTGTCACAACTGGCAGCAAAATGCATGCGGTAGAAACACACAATAAAATGTGGTGTCTGTCGTGACAATACAGTGTCTGTCGTGACAATACAGAAATCCAATCCTTCGGAAGCTTTCACATATCATCTCTGTGGGTGTGGAACTCCTGATCAAGCTGTGAATAGCTACAAAGAAGATCCAATCTGGCCACACTGCTTCTGGATGAAGAAACATGGATTGAGCATGATCTGGATTGAGCAGAAATCCCATCACTCAAGTCTTAGAGACGTCACTTAGAGATTGGGCAGAGAGGTGGACAACGAACTTGTCAAGCACAACGAAACGAGGGTCTGAATTTTGATTTGGGTCTCAAATATGCAAATCAAGCCAATCATGTTGGAGGCCTCAGAAGCTTGTGTTGGAGCTATATTGAATCTGATCAGGTTTGTGGTTGGATCAAAAGCCGACAATGGATTGAAGCCCCGATGTTCAGCCTCTGTTGACTTCTAGACTTGTCGGCACTTGTCTCAATTTGGGCCATTTCCAGGTTCTAAAATGAAAAAAACATCGCTGAGACACACTATATATATATGACAACTCTCTCTATAGTAATATGACAACTTTGTGGAAATGGGTGAGATTTACGCGGTGATACTGAAGACTGGGTTCTTCGTTGCACTTCTGCCGACTTTGGCTAGCTAGGGCAACTTCGGAAGAGGAAGGATCTTGGGCGTGTCCAAGTCTTTTTGTGACATCATAAACAGCGGGGGAAACGTGCGGATTAGGTTCGGATCCCTCCACAAAGACCACTGGCCTAGGGTGCTTCAAAACATTGAAGGGCAATGGGCCCAGCAAATGCTGGCCATACGTGATGCTTCTCGAAAAAGACAAAACAATGCAAATACGTTTTACTTAAATTCTGGGGAGTGCGGTGCATCGCAGGAGAAACAACTTCCAACAGTTGCCCAGCTACAGGGTCTGCACAAGAAGAAGGCGACTGCTGGCTTGCGGCCCAGTGACACAGCATTAGCATTTTCTGATGGCCACTGTTTTCATGAACCTTCAAAAGATTGATTGGCCAACCCGAGCACAACCGTTTTCGACAGCTGTAATTCAAAGACTTTGAACGCTTGGCCTTTAATTCATGACAAACGCAGTCATGCTGGCACCTCTATCCGTGACGACAGCTTGCAGGCCAATTCTCCTGGCAGTCAGCATGTCATGCAAGTCAAGGAGGACTCTCGACTTTCAGGGCATGAGAACTACAGAAATGGCGATCAAAAGGAACAAGTGTAACCAAGTGTAACAAACCCTCACCTGCGCCTCACCTGCAGCCAAACGGAAGAATGGACTTACGACTTACATCCTTCAGTCTGCCTTATGGATCGGTCACAGGCTTCCCCACCGCGCCTTTCTCGGAGGTGGGGCTGGAGGCACTCATGACTTCAGTCAAGTCTTCACAGTCCTCATTCCCATCGGTGGTGCTATCCTGAGCTGATCCATCGGATGTGCATATCTGCTCGAATCAAAAAAACTGGGGTGATGCCGTTCCGGACCTGATCAATTGAGTAGTATGTCTGGTGTTTCTTTCATCCCAGCCAACCCCAGCCAAATCCTTCAGCTGTCACCGGTCGTGCCTCGTCCAGTTCAAGCTCGCAGACGGTCGACTCCGTCTCGTTCCGAGGACGGACTCCAAGAAGCTTCACCTCGCTGGATCATGGCGCTGTGCCATCCATTAACTATATAGATAGAGGGCTTGCCTCAGAAAGAAAGAAAATCCCCAAGTAACTACTGGAACATCCATAGTAAGTAAGCTGCTGGGTAACTGTTCCTCTGGCTTAAGATGGCCAGCATCCCAAGCCGTTTTGAGCCCTATTCGGAAGCAAAAGAAATCGACTGACATTCCGATCTGGCCTCCCCCGAGAGACATCGCTTCAGGGAGCTGCATTCCTCCCTGGCGGTTTCATGGCGAAGCATCCGGATTTTTGGTTGGCCGCAAGGAAGCCCAAACACTTCCAGTTGTTGGCGAATGTGACAGTGAGAAGTGTCTATGCAGCGGTGAAAGCGAAGGTTTGGGCGGGTTCCAAGTTTCCCTCAACAGCTTGGCTATGTAGCTTGCTACATCGAAAAGCAAAAACAAGCACATCGAGTTTGCTGGGGAATCCTGCTAATGATACATCCCACACACGCGCACACACTCTCACACACACACCACAGCAGTGTCGAGCCTGAGCTCACTTTTCAGGCCTCAACACCAGCAAACAGGGATAGCCGTGATCAGCCAAAAGACACACCAGCTGGCATGACACCCTTCAACGATAGCAATGATGGCTGTGGGATTCTCTCCAGTCAAAAAATCCGAACCAGTCAACATACCTGCCAGGTCACACAAAGCAGGCGTGGCTTCTGCTGAAGACATGTCAGCGACAGTTTTCATGCTGTCAGAGTCCATGGCCAAGAATTCTCTCTGGCAGAGCTTGCGATGGTCCGTATCATTGACCCACAACTCTTGCCGCGCCTAACTGCTCCTAAGATCTGAGGGAGGCGAGGAGCGGAGTGCATGTGGAGGCTGGTCTGCTTCCCCCCTGCATGTGCCATGTGGATGGGCAATCAGCTTGATCCGTCAAAGCCGCGGCCGTGGAAGGAGTTTCACACTTTGTTTAGATTTGGACTATATACAGTGTAGCAAAAAGTACTGATGTGAATGCTGAATGGTCACCTGTTTGAAAGAAGCGACCGCAAGACATTGTGAGGCAAACAAATCTAGCAATCAAGTCTTGTGTTTCTATTGTTGATCAAAATCATAGAGTTCTGTGTCTTGAAACCCGGGCCAATTCCACATCTCATCTCCCCATCAAGCTCTGGCACGCTCGTTGCCCAGGCCGGACTCCAGCAGCTGCATTAAGGCCTTGGAAACGATGGCCTTGCCTAAAATGACGAAGGCCCCGAGCATCTTTGGAATTGGGTTGATCAACCCATCTGGAGATATATTATGATCGATCACGCATGCATAGGGCATAGGCATAGGGCTCATCTACGCTTCATGGCTGCAAAACACGGCACCCTTGAGAAACTTCTGCTGCTCTGCACATCCAAAGCTCTTTTCCTTCAAAAATCCAGACGACCAAGCACCAACAAACCCCCTGTACACTAGACGCGACAATTCCATGGGGATGTCTTTTGCGTTTGTCCCTAGGATTATAAAAAACTTTCATATGGTAAGGCCAGAATCCGTGATTTAAAAAAAGTCAAAAAAAATGTCAAAAAAAGTCAACTGGAAAAGTCAGAGTCAAAAAAAAAGTCAAAACCAGTCGAAAAAATGACAAAAAAGTCGAAAAAAGTCGAAAAAAAAAAAACCGTATTTTAAAAAATAAATATATTTTAACAAAAGTCAAAAGTGTGTCTCCTTGCCTTGGCGGATTACTGGAGTCAAGAAAAGCCAAAAAAAAAAGTAAACCACTCAAAAACAAAAACAAAAAAAGTCGAAAAAAGAAGACGGATCTGGGCAAATTGACTTTTTTTGACTTTCTGAAATTTTCCGATTTGCCTCTTTTTTTACTTTGACTTTTGGGATTGACTTGTTTGACTTGTTTTTAAAATTTAGAAAACATGATCTTTCCAATGAAAGTTTTTATAACCCTAGGAGCAAAGGGCATCGCTACTAGGAGCAAGGACGCTACTAGGGGCTCCTGGCCTTACTACTAGGAGCAAGGATGCTACTGGGAGCAAAGGGCATCCCCAAAAAAAGGACCACTGCACTGAGCTGGTGAAGCGTGGCGACCGAGCGCTTGGCATCGAAGCATCCCTGCCTTGGACGTTGGGCGCGCGACGCAGGTCTGAAAATATGGGACCACCCGCCCCTGACGCAAAACACAGCTTTTGACGGTTTCCTGCCGTAGACTCACCTCCTCCCCGCCGAAGCATCCACAAGAATCCCCCGGAAACTGAGCACCCCAAGCTTCTCGTACTGCGAGATGACCTCCTCCAGGTGATCCGGGTGAACCTGCACCGCGGGAGGTCCGTCCGCAAGCCGGCTTTTGGCAGCGGAGGCGAGCACGGATTGCTTCGATCTGGATTCTGAGAACTGCTTCGAATGGACTGCGATGGACAAATTGCTTTTAGTTCTCAAACCTCGAGATTCTGAGATCAAGAAGTGGTCACCATGTAAAAACTGAGAGTGTTGCAGAACTGTCACCAGAGTGTAACACATGCTCCATCACTAAGAAGTGGTCACCATGCTGAGCTCACTACGATGATGTGCTGACCCGCAATCTCTGCACCTCGGATTTGCTCCAGCCAGCGGAAGCTGCCAAGGCAGAAAAGGTGTCAGGTGCTTTCGGTCAAATGTCAAAGAGAACCATGCATTGGCAGAACTAGCAACTTCATGGGCTGTTGTTGCCAACTGCTGTAGATGAAGACTTGGGCTTCCAAATATTCTCAGGCTCTCACAGCGGAACTGCTCCGCCTTGACACAGGCCAGGTTCACCTGGCGTAGCACCATGATTCACGTCGGATTCCTTTCCAGAGCCTCTAGCACTCCACAGGACCAAGGCCTCTTAAACATCTCTTGCCGAAGTACTCACAATCCATGGATCAACATACTTCCGTTCAAAAGCACCCCAGACCATCGAGACGCCAAATCGAAAACGCCCAACCCTGGTGGAGACCATCCTTCAACGCCGCTGCCTCCTGCCAAGTCTTCGGATTGTTTGCCTTCTTCGCTGCCTCAACAGCCTGGCCGTCTCAAAAATTGATCGTGTGTGCATGGACTGCAGGAGGGCAAATGAACAGGGTTTGGGCGGATGGATCAAAGCAAAGAAGTATTCCAGGTCTATTTGTTGATGTAGACTCGTGCTCCTTCGTTCCTTGCATCTATTTACTTGCAGAGAAAGAAGAAAGGAAAAGGAAACAAAGAGGTATGGAGAGAGATGAGGCCCCTCACGGCCGCTGTCAATATTCTGATTCCCTTCTTGCAGCTTTTCTGTGTGTGTGGTCACTCAAGCTGCTAACTTTTAAAGGACAAAAAAAATGCTCTGCGGCAAGCAGGATAAGACTGGTGTCTGGACTTCGTACCCGCACGGTCACTCTATACACTACTACAACTACGCCCGTGCATTCAAACAGTTGCTGGAAAGGCTGCCTTATACAGTTGCTGGGGTTTGCGGACCCAAGGTGGCAAGAAATTAACAGGTAGCCAAATGAATAAGTGACAATTTGAACATTTGTGTGATCATCCCACGAACTGCTTGATGTTGGATTTGCTTTGCAACAATCGTCACACTCGAAACATGCAAAATGCTTGATCCCAGCGTCCACATCAATTTGGGGCCTACGTCCTAAGTGCAACTCCCAAAAGCCTGCGCATCACATGGGCTATCATAAGGCTTTAAGCCACGGCATCCATGCATGTCCAACTCACAAAGCCTTTGCTCCATTGCACAACATTATGCCTGTACACGTTTGTCCAAACCTCACCCCAGCCCGACAAAAAGGTGCACCTGTGTGTACTCTCCCAGCTGCACATGGCCTCAAGCATGTCGTTCCTCCTACTTGCAGCTGCTTTGAAACAGTTTTCTTGCCCGGCCGAAGTTTGGCTTAAGTGCCACACATGAGGCCAAGCGCCCATTGTTCGGGATGGAGGCATAAAGGATCTTGGCTGCCTCTGCTGGCTCCAGAGCGGCAAGACCCAGCCCAGCTGAAATTGATCAGTCCCAGGTTCTCTGGGCATGTATGAAACTTCGAGACGGCCTGGATATGCATGAACACAGCCAGATCCCAAGCTCACCTTGTAGAATTTCTCATCATAAAGACGATCGCCCACTGCTTGGATGTTGGCCTCGAAGCCGAGGCCCGCAAAGAAGTAACTACCGACTAAGATGACTAAGGCTAAGGTCTTTTCTGGTCGTGGTTCAAGGATCCACACCGTTATTTTCACAAGTCCTGCTCTTCAACGAAACCTTCTCCATAAAACCATGTTGGCACGATTGCCTCCGCTGAATTCTGAAAGGATCCAGCCTCTAGCATCCTCGGTCTTTGAACAACCGGACATCATCCTCCGACGCATGCAGTCGAGGAGCCGTGTTGGTGCCACTGATAAACTCTTCCATTTCGCCCTGGGAGGACAAAAGATCGGGACGTGAGGGACGGGTGACGGGTGGGTATATGCAGGAAATCGACCATAAGAATGAGGGGATACGACTCGACAGCAAAGATTGTAGGATCTATGTAGAACAAAGCAGAACAGGATGGAAAGCAACTTACCTTGGTAGGGGATCGCCAGGCTTGAAACTCCCTGACATCAGGGGCTCGTTTGACTTTCGCCACAAACAGGGCGCTCCAAGGTTTGATGATTGCAGATGGCCGCTCCAAGGTCAGGGTATGGTTCCGGAAACACCATCTCTCTTAGTCGCTCACCAGGCGCTCCGTCTTCGCATACGCGTACACCAGCTCACCTCGGCGAAAGCACACCGGCACATGTCTCAATGTTGTCGTGTTCATTCAAAGAGCTATGTAATGAATGCACCTGTTCCCCTGGCGCGCTGAGATCAACCCTAAATCCACCTTGCCCTTCCAACTGAAAACGAAACAAAGGCAGGAACCCCTTTGCTGACACCAAGAAATCCTGCGAAATATGGATCGCGGGAAAGCCTTGGGAAAAAGCATCACACCCAACCTTGGAAAGAACATGCAGCAGCTTGGGCGACAAGGCCATCAATCTGTGAATCCTTCACCTTTGTCCGGGCCATCATCAGATATCTCACCAGCCTGGGCTTCAACGGCATATTCGAAGGCATCAAAACCATCTCTACCTCTGCGTGTCATTGTTCCTGGTGCCAAGTCCCTACACTAGCGATTAGATGCTGCCCTACACTAGCGATTAGATGCTGCGAGTTTCCTCTGTTGAATCGCTCTCAGCTCCAAACTCCTCGTAGTTCTCCTCACGCTCTGCAGCCTGACCCAAGAAGAGGGTGTCAATCGAAGAACGTCATGAGCAATGGCTGTCCGGAATCCAAATTTCAGGGCCCGCATGAAACGGAGGTGAAATTGGCAAAGACTCGCAAGACTTTGTAGTTGCAATATCCAAAGGCTTTATCTCCAAGTCAAGTTCTCTGAATCTATGACCCAAGAAATTGTATAAAAGTACATCAGCGTCAATTAGTCCTGGAGAGCATGGCCACTGTTTGCGAAAAACATGTCTTGACGAAGTTCATCAAAGCAAGGCTATATTATGATCTCCTCATGTGGCTTCCGTACAACGATCCGTTCACACTCTTTGCTATTCTACAGTTTGCAAATGCACGAGCTTCTGTGAAACAATACGTTGTTGGACATCTTGGCTGCAGTATTGTAAGAAAGACTCACCAAATGCACTCACTGCCTTGGGTTGATTCAAAATCGATTTGGTGTCGTACTTCATACGGATTCTCCGTCCCCAACCAAACACGACTGGCGCGACTGGCACCGTATCGAGTCTCATGTGTCCGGTCGAGGCAGTCCCTTGTCGCCTGGATCACTTCCAGGTAGTCAGTCGCATCTTCTGACTTCAAGTAGGAGTCCACAGACTCTGGCACCTTTGCAGTCAGCTACGCTAAGCCACGCTAAGCTACGCTTCTGACGCTGGCTGGCTACCTCACTGATCTTCGAGTTTGTGCAGGTGCTAAGCATCAGACACCGCCAGTTTCCAGCTGTGCTTTGCCCAATTTGTACCAAACCTGTGGGGACCGTGTGGAAATCTTGAGCCGTGCCGGTGTGGGATCAAGACATGTTCATACATGTTGTATCCGCACAAGGCAAAGCTGCACGATTGGAACAAATATTGCCTCAGAAATGGGGCATTCAACACATATTCTGAGACTGGCAATGGGACACGCAATCTTAGCACAAGCGGTCAAACCCTAGGACATCCTCGCATTCAAAGTGTCTGTTCTGATTTGATGGACTACATTCTTCTCACCACTGCTTTTACAGATGGTGGTATCGGTCTTAAGCGCCTGGCATGACTGGTGACGTGTCATCCAACTCAGCTCCCTGCAGTCTTGTCATTGATTCGTGCGGCAAACTCTTGCGCCCTCTCCAAGGAGTTGATGTTCTCCAGCAGCACACTGAGAAGGAGAACGGGCTGAGAAGGTTCGCCACAGCTAGCGGTTCTGGAGCTGGCGTGTTGACGTGTCCTATGGAAGAATTCAACAAGACCTTCAGGGTGTTTTTGCTTCGACACATTCTGATAGAGGACACGTTCACCTTTTGAGACAGCGTGTGAGCCACGTCACGGGTCTCCAAGTCTCTAGGGATGTGAGTCACGTTTTGAAAAGGCCAATTAGGTACAGTAGCTGATGGACTTGCCATTCAGACTTGCAGTTGAGGTGAGCACTCCATGGCTTCGGCATTTTGCCCACACTTCTTGTAGATGAGGAAGGCCTGATAAGGCGTCAATTCTGCCGGATAAGATCGAAAAGAAGGCGTCATGTGTTTCTAAAGAAGCTCGGCATCAAGTCAGACCATGCCTCCTCGTACAGGCCATACGGATCGCCCAATGCCTGGACAGGTGCAGACCCCAAACTGCCTAATTTCTGGATAATCTCTTCCTTCTCATCAAAAACATCAGACTGTCACCCTGATCGCGGCATACCAGCCCTCTGAGTTCCATGCAATCTTTGCAATCTCTGGGCCATCGTAGTTGTCCAAACGGTTGATGTAGTCCATGACCCGGGCCCTCACCGAAATTCGGCTCTCTCAGCTAGCTCTTTTTCTTTTCAACCCAAAAGCGCGTTCCGCAGTATCTATCGGCCAAGCAGCTTGTCGGCTTTGATAGCCGTGAGAACCAACAAGTTCTGCAAGTTCCGGTTCTTACCTTTGCGGAAAAGGCGAGGTACACGTGACAACCCACGCGAGGTGCACGTGGTTGCACGCGTGCAAAACAAGCGTAATGACGATGGACACCTCTATCTTTTCTCGAAGAATGGACAGCGTAATGGCGTCATCAAGTGACGACATGGAAAATAGTTGAAAGCATCAAAGGAACCCCGCAGAGACTCGTTGGAATCGAAAAAGTCTTCAACATGAGAGCGCTCACGAGTGAAAGGAACGCTTACAGCGACGCTTGCCGTGTTAGGCCATGCTTGCTTGCCTTGTTGGACGAAATCAATAACTGACTAAGCCCAGCGCTGAAGTCTGAGTTATGGAGGACAATCTTTTCCAACAGCTCGATCAGTTCAGTGGGCAGATCCGCGCCTGGTTTCGCTGACGGTTGGACCGCAAGCAGGATCCAACAAGCGGTGCTACGACTGCTGGTAAAGGAGGAAAACACCATTTGTTTGGCCTAATGTCTGTGATGGCCAACGGTTCAGCCAAGAATCTGCCCGTTTGCCATGTCTTCTGTCTTTGGCATGCAAATGCACCCTCTCCCACCAAATTACTGTTTCGTATTGGAGTCTGGCTTTCCTCGTTGTCAAACGGTCCTTTGCCACAATTCTAGAGCTTTGGAGTATACCCCGAAACGTTGTCCCTGTTCCCAGAATAAAGTAAAGAAAAAGGTAGTGCGGAGCGTTGACAAAGTATTGCAGTACCTTGTATCAGGGAGGCACCAGGGGATTTGTTGGGCGATGAACTTCACCACCTCAGCAGCCATATCTGCACTATGACCCGCTGGGCCATCCAGCTAATGAATGCTTTCACAGTCGCCGAGACCTGCACGGGGCCCAAGACACATCACTCCCGGCTGGCATTCATTAAGAAAACTCGTTTGCCCTTGTAAGTTGAGCGAGAACACAAAACTTTGGAAATTAAAGGATTCCTGCAAGCACGTCTAGCAGACTCAAGCAAAGTGCAGGTCAGCTTGAAGTCAGTACGAGTCT